GTCAGCAGCAGTTCGTCAGCAGGATCAGAGGGTGTATCCACCCCGCTCAGAGCACCTTAGAAAATGTCGAGTTCAATCATTTCCAATCCAAAGCTTGAAAGACTCAGTCTCTCCTGGTAATGGCATCGGTAATAGTGAGCCAGGCTGTGAGCGCATCAATTCTATGTTGAAAAGCGTCTTCTTTGCAAGCCGGTTTGTCATGCTTCATATCCTCCAGAGTTCGCCAGAGTTCACATATTTTGTCGTATTTGTGAAGTATATCACAAACCTGATCTCTTGCATCAGGAGCCCCCTGTTCGTAACTTATTTCGAAGTTTGAGACCTCCTCGATAACCAGATCAACAGTTGTTCTTCTGTACAAGATGATTTTTCGCTGTTCATCCTCCGTTCTATTTAAAAGCTTTGCACGGATCCCAAACCATAAATTTTCCTTATAGTAAGTTCGTAAAAAAGACTCTTGCTGTTCGTTTGAATAGCCATTATCAATGATTTTAGTTTTCTCTGACCGCACAACATCACCTGTAAGGACAGACGACAACATTGCTTGCCATTCAAGTCTTTCAATGACTGCAGGGTCTTCCACTGTGTCCTTGCTGATGGTTTTGATATTGTCACTGATACTTAGCTTGGAGTTGCTGCTTTTCATGATATCAAAAGCTAGGCTATAATCTATCTGATATTTTTCATTCTCCAAATCTGTCCAAGAGATCGGAATTGCCATGCAAAGTTACGTCGTCCATCGTCATCGTCGTCGTCATCATCGTCATCATTCGTAATAACGTCTGTTTCCTTTGGCTCAATATCTGCTCCACTAATACCTTTGGTATAATAGTCATCAATAGCATGATTTCGTATCTTTTTGAGATAAACTTTCTCCTGTGCTAGGTATTGATTTGTCTGGGGGAGATTATTATTAAGAACTTGACTGGTTGAGCGGGACCTTGACTTGCGGGTCTCTGTGCCCGAGTGAATTCCCGATGATGTTTCTGTCCGGAATCCTAGACTACCATTTCCATTATTGGAGTGGCTCTCTCTGCTAAGCTGCCTTGAACTAGACGATGTGGTGCTTTTGTTGCTATTGGTAGGAATGAATAGCTGGTGGGGCCTGTTACCTTTCTGCAATGAAGACGTCTGTGTTCTGTGTGGATTAGAATGGCGTTCTGTATTATTGACAGAACTATTAGCGGAATTCGATCCCATTTCAAATTAGTGATCTTTATGACGAAGATTAAACAACGGGGCGTTTCGTGCTTTGGACTCCGCTTCAAGGTGTGACAAGGGAAGTAAATGCAAAGTTAATGTGATATCAAAAAAGGGAATGCGAATGGGAATGTGGGATGTAAGAATGATAACGGTTTTCAATAGTACAGGGATTAATGTTACACTATCTTTGGAAACACACACACACACCTTAGACGTGGGTGAAGCAAGTCCAGAGATGTCCGGGTGTGAAGTCCTCAGGTTGCTAGGGAAAGGTGAGGAATCAAGCCCGTACAGAATTTCTAATGAAGGCGTGCTTTTGCTTTCTCCATATGTTTCATGGCTCTTAGTGCATAATTCATTTTACTTTCCCTGTGATCGTTTTTTGAACCGTATGAAGTTTCCTATATCTAGTTTAGGCTGGTGCCTATCTACAATAATGGCGCACCAGCTATGGAAATCATGGCCCATCATCTTTGTAAGATATACCTTATAGCCCCAAAGCTGCATGGACTAAAAAAAAAAAAAAAAAACTGGAAAAAAGAAGAGTTTCAGTGATCAAGCGAAACTAAAGTAGCAATAGTACGCTTAAAGTAGCCCACTCAGAGCATTTCCGTGCGCGATTACTACAAGAAATAGCATCTGCGAGATACAGCTGCGTAAATGCATGGTTTCGCTCTTTGAAATTTGCCAACAGAAACCACTATGGGAGCACCTTACTACTGGGCTCCCGACATTAGATCAAGTTCTTGAATACCAGACTGATGGCATCTTTGATTTCCAATCGGTACCGACCAACAGCGCTATGTATGCTGTCGTGTGCAATCTCATAGTCAGCCATTTGCAAGCAGGGGAAACGAAAAGAGTCGTCATAATAGAGACCTTGAACCCTTTCCCGTGGGAGATTCTCCATCTGCATCCAAACTTCAAGCCGCAATGGCAGTCCCGCATCGAAACATTCTCATTGTCGTCATTCCCTCAGCTTTTCGCTTTTCTCAAGCTTGAAGATCTCCAACCGATCATGGCAGGTTCCATATTGGCATTCATAACGAATTTTCATGAGCTCATCGAGCATTACAGGCTCCAGATCTCTGCATCATATGAGGAAAGTCTCCTTAAACATCAAATCGAGAAAAATGGAGTCGTAATCGATAAAATGGAACAGGCTGTGGAAGAAGGGTTTTCTCTGTTAGACTTGCCAGAATTACCAGAAAAATCTTCTCTCTTGCGAAAAAATCCAATATTGAAAGCACAAGATCATATTACTCAACTTTTTAAGGAGCTTGGAGAATTCGTCTACAAGCATACTTGTATGGTCGTGCTCATTGGGCATTTGGAGCCACAATATAAGGCATATTCGAAGAAGAGGTCGTCGACTGTAATGGACTCAAGTCAATCTCAAATCTCACTTTCACTGTCGAATGGATCTTCGTTCTATTCTGATCGACGTTTAGTTTTGGCTCCGGTATCTTTTGGAAGGCCCGGTTCTGGAGAAGAGAGACGAACTAGGGTATGGGATGTGAATGATAGCAAGATAACTAGTCGGCTTGTTTTCTATCACGACTGGTTCTACAATAGCCCCATGTTTTTGAGCAGAAAGCGACCCGCACTATCAAAGGAACATTATCTTGTCTCGGTAGTTAAAGTTACCCATCTTGCTGGTGTGGGGAATATTTATGATCCGATTTTTTTTGACTTCCAGCATAATTACGAAATCGAGGATTCTGATCTGAATGAGAATTGCTTAATTGATCTACTGGCCCAAAATACGGGCGATCTTTCCGCATTGATACAAGACTCTCTTTACATGACGCAAACATTACCTAAAGCAGTGTCAACGCAGATCGAAATTTCCGTGCCTATTCCATCCTCTCTTCCTATTAGCAAATCCCAATCAGAAGTTACAGAGCCCTTCTCTAGCGGAGAAACCGAGAGGTCGGATATGTATCGCGACTCTCAGCTGGTAATTGAAGCCTCCGACGTCGAACTGACAGGAACTCTACTAGAGGATTTAGAGACCTATAATTAATAATATCGTATCGCCACATTATCCATCGCGTTTTGAGATGCGAGTATTCCTAGCATACAGTGAGATATTTGAACCTCTTAATACACCAAACAACAAGATAAATCATATACAACTGATGGAGATCCCACTTAAAAGAACATTTGAGTAGAAAATAGGAGACGCTTTCACTTTGTTACTAGTGGTGGAAACAGTATTCTGAGAAACAAAATATAAATCAAACCGTACTACTATGGTCGTGCGTGCATATACGGCGATGAGCATCATTATCTCTTTTTCTGCCTAGTTTCAACATAACTTTTGAAAGCTACAAAAATGGCGACTGTCATACCCCCTCCGTCCAAAAAACAAAAGAAGGAAGCACAAAAAGAACGCGAGGTTAATATAGTGCCAGAAGATCTTCCCAATGTGCTAATAAAGTTTCAGGCTGCTGACACTGGAGATTCAGTTGGCGGTTCTATTCGTGTCCCAGGTGGCATCACAGAAAAACAGTTGGAGGAGCTTTTGAACCAGCTCAATGGAGAAAAAGATGACCCTGTACCATATAGCTTCTCTCTTCTCAATCAGAAGGAGGGCTCGGTTGAATCCGATTTGGTGGATATCAAAGATAATCTCTATCTGTCTGTCTTGAAACCAGGAATCAAAACGACGGAAGATTTCATGACCATTGTCTACACGCCACGTGCTGTATTCAAGGTTAAGGCTGTGACAAGATCAAACACTGCTATTGCAGGCCATGGCTCCACTATTTTATGTTGCCTGTTTGCCCCAAATGATTCTGGGCGCATGTGTTCCGGTGCTGGTGATTCTACTGCTAGAATCTGGGACTGTAACACACAAACACCATTCAAAACCCTTTCTGGACATACGAACTGGGTTTTATGTGTGAGCTACTCTCCATGCGGAACAATGATTGCTACTGGATCTATGGACAATACTGTCAGGTTGTGGAATGCACAAACTGGTGAAGCTTTGGGAAACCCATTGGTGGGTCACTCCAAATGGATCTCAAGTTTGACTTGGGAACCTTTGCATTTAGTGAAAGAGGGTGACACGCCGCGTCTCGGTTCGGGATCCAAAGATGGTACCGTGAAAATTTGGGACACTTCGAGAAGAGTATGTCTTCTCACCATGAGTGGACACACGAATGCAGTTTCATGTGTGAAATGGTCGGGCTCTAATATTTTGTACAGTGGATCACACGATAAAACCATTCGTGCGTGGGACATCAGTGCTGGAGGAAAATGCGTTCAAATTCTTAAAAGTCATGCTCATTGGGTCAACCACTTATCGATTTCTACGGATCACGTTTTAAGGAAAGGTGGCTTTGACCACACCTCTTCGAGAACTTCAGTGAAGTCTAGCCCTGCTGAGTTACGCAAGAAGGCCTTAGAGCAATATGAGAAAGTGGCTAAGTTGGGTGGTAAGATCAGTGAGAGGTTGGTCACAGCTAGTGACGACTTTACAATGTACTTGTGGGAGCCCTTGAAATCGTCCAAGCCTATTTGCAGAATGACAGGACATCAAAAGCTTGTTAACCATGTGTCTTTTTCACCAGACAGTAGATACGTTGTCTCTGCTTCGTTCGACAACTCAATCAAGTTGTGGGATGGGTTGAAGGGTACCTTTATTGGTACTTTCCGTGGCCATGTCGCACCCGTTTATCAAACGGCGTGGTCTTCAGACAGCAGGTTATTGGTCAGTTGTTCCAAGGATACTACATTGAAGGTGTGGGATGTACGGACGAGAAAGCTTAATGTAGATTTACCGGGCCATTCGGATGAGGTCTACGCGGTTGACTGGAGCATGGATGGCCGCAAAGTGGCATCTGGTGGAAAGGACAAGATGATTCGCATTTGGTCTAGTTAGGCATACGGCAAGACTTACGCTAATGCAGAGAATATAGGACGAGAAGTATCACATCAACAATTTAATAGTTAAGTAGCTGGAAAAATGGGAACAAGACAATGCGCTATGTTAAGGATTCTTTTTTCTTTTGAAATGATAAAAAACATTTCTGCATTCTATAAATGGCATTTATGTCTGTAAGCCACGATCGATTATAGTCATGGAGATGCGCACCATGCTCCGCCTTTTTTGTTGCGACACGACCATCCCACTATCTCCACTCAAGCCGAAACGCATCCGCAATTAGCTTCTCAATTGCTTAGTCACCATGGCGATTGTCAAAAAAGGCGGGCGCACAAGAGCGAAGCAGCAAGCTGCTCCAGCGAAGTCTGGTATCAAAAAGGCCGAATTCGATATCACCAAAAAGAAGGAGGTGGGTGTGTCTGATTTGACATTGTTGTCCAAAATCACCGACGAAGCCATTAATGAAAACCTACACAAGCGATTCATGAACGGTACAATCTACACATACATTGGCCACGTGTTGATCTCAGTCAATCCTTTCCAAGATTTGGGCATTTACACACATGAAACACTCAACATGTACAAGGGCAAGAATAGATTAGAGGTGCCACCCCATGTGTATGCTATTGCTGAATCCATGTACTACAACTTGAAATCTTACGGTGATAATCAGTGTGTCATTATTTCTGGTGAGTCCGGTGCTGGAAAAACCGAGGCTGCAAAGCAGATCATGCAATACATAGCCAATGTGTCTGTTGACGATCAGCTTTCTTCCACTTCTGATTCCAGCGGAATTTCCAAAATCAAGGATATGGTCTTAGCAACAAATCCTTTGTTGGAGTCCTTTGGTTGTGCCAAGACTTTGAGGAATAACAATTCTTCGAGACATGGAAAGTATCTAGAGATCTTCTTTGATCCTCAATCTCATAGACCAGTTGCAGCGCATATCACCAACTACTTGTTGGAGAAACAAAGAGTGGTTCAACAAATCACTAACGAGCGGAACTTCCATATCTTTTATCAGTTTACCAAACATTGTCCTCCGCAATATGCTCAAATGTTTGGCATTCAAGGACCTGAAACATACATCTATACATCAGCTGCGAAATGTGTTAGCGCAGATGGCATTGACGATGGCAAGGATTTCCAAGAGACTATAAGAGCAATGGAAATCATCGGCTTAAGTCAAGCTGAACAAGATAACATTTTCCGTATGTTGGCGTCCATTTTATGGATAGGAAATATCTCCTTTGTTGAAGACGAGAGCGGAAATGCCACTATCAGAGATGCGGGGGTTACAAACTTTGTTGCCTATCTTTTGGAAGTTAGTCCTGAGATTTTGCAGAAAGCTATTGTCGAAAGAATCATCGAGACTTCTCACGGAATGAGAAGAGGGTCTACCTATCATGTTCCTTTGAACATAGTACAAGCTACTGCAGTCAGAGACGCTTTAGCAAAAGGAATCTATAATAATCTTTTTGAATGGATTGTCGAAAGAGTTAATGCATCTTTGTCGGCTGCAGGTCAGAACTTGGAGAAAAAATCAGTTGGTATCTTGGATATTTACGGTTTTGAAATCTTTGAACACAATTCGTTTGAGCAAATCTGTATCAACTATGTCAATGAAAAGTTGCAACAAATTTTTATCCAGTTAACATTGAAGGCGGAGCAAGACGAGTACGTTCAAGAGCAAATTAAGTGGACCCCGATTGATTATTTCAACAATAAAGTTGTTTGTGACTTGATTGAGGCTGTGAGACCTCAACCTGGTCTTTTTGCTGCTTTAAACGATTCCATCAAAACTGCACATGCAGACTCTGATGCTGCAGACCAAGTTTTCGCTCAAAGATTGAGTATGGTTGGTGCTAGCAACCGCCACTTTGAAGATCGCAGAGGAAAATTCATCATTAAGCATTACGCTGGTGATGTGACTTACGAGGTTGCAGGTATGACCGATAAGAATAAAGACAGCATGTTACGTGACCTCTTGGAACTTTTGTCAACATCCACCAATACTTTCGTTACTCAATCATTGTTTCCCCCAGAAATGTTGGCTGCTGTTACTGATTCCAAGAAGAGACCAGAAACGGCTTCAGACAAAATCAAGAGAAGTGCCAATTTATTAGTGGACACCTTATCACAATGCCAACCATCGTACATTAGAACTATTAAGCCCAACCAAACTAAAAGACCAAAAGAATACGACAACCAGCAAGTATTGCATCAAATTAAGTATTTGGGTTTGAAGGAGAATGTCAGAATTAGAAGAGCAGGTTTTGCCTACCGTACGACTTTCGACAAGTTTGTGCAGAGATTCTACTTGTTGTCTCCGGCAACTGGTTATGCTGGTGATTATATCTGGCAAGGTGATGATATAACCGCTGTTAAAGAAATTTTAAAAAGTTGTTACATTCCAGATACGGAGTACCAAATGGGTACGAGCAAAGTTTTCATCAAGACTCCAGAGACTTTATTTGCCCTTGAAGATATGAGGGACAAGTACTGGCATAACATGGCTGCTCGTATTCAAAGAGCTTGGAGACGCTATTTGAAGAGAAAAGAAGATGCTGCCAAGGTTATCCAAAATGCATGGAGAGTGAAGAAGCATGGTAACAAATTTGAACAATTCCGCGATGAAGGATCTGCACTCTTGCAAGGCCGCAAGGAAAGAAGGAGGATGTCCATGCTTGGTTCACGTGCCTTTATGGGTGACTACCTTGCATGTAATGACTCTACTGGATTTGGCCGCTTTGTTGTCAGCCAAACTGGCATTTCAGAACCCGTTATCTTCTCGTCGAAAGGTGAAATTCTTTTGTCAAAGTTTGGAAGATCCTCTAAAAGATTAAACAGAATTTTTATTTTGACCAAGAGCTATCTCTATGTTATCGCCGAAGTTTTGGTAGAGAAGAGATTGCAGTTGCAAAAGGAATTTTCCATTCCTATCTCCGGTATCAAGTATGTGGCTTTGTCGACCCTTCAGGATAATTGGGTAGCGGTGGCATTGCACACGCCTACAAGTACGACCCCGGATGTGTTCATAAACTTGGACTTCAAAACTGAACTTATTGCTCAAATCAAAAGAGTTAACAGAGGTTTGACTATCAAAATTGGTCCTACTGTTCGAGTACTGCAAGAAGCCAGGTAAGGTTCATGTCGTTAAGTTTGTGCACGGCACAGCACCTCGCTTTAGTGATGTTTACAAATCTGGTACAGTCACTGTTGGACAAGGCTTGCCTCCAAGCAGCAAAAACCCAAAGCGGCCACGGGGAAAACAAAGCGCTGTGGACTATAGTAAATACTACAACCGTGGGGCACAAAGAAGCGTTGCTGATTATGCGCAGCCCACTGTTGTCCAAAGACCAGTCCAAAGACAGGAGTATTCGATTCCTCAACCATCTCAACAACAATACACTCAACAGTCTCAGCCATCTCAACCTTCTCACCACCCTCAGCAACATAGTCAACAGCATAACCAGCCAAAGCCTATGGTTTCGGCTTCTATTGCGTCAGCAGCCTCAGCGCAACCAATGCCGCAACGCAGAAAAGCTCCTCCACCAGCTCCAAGCCACAGTGAAGCTATTGCAGCTGCAACTGCAGCTACGACTGCTCATCCTGAGCTTCAACACGGGGTGAGACCACCAGCCAAGCAGAATTATGAACCTGCGGCCAAAACTCAAACTAGGAAGACTGCGGCACCAACTCCTCCTGCGAAGAAGGTTGCACCAAAGCCCCCACCAGCCCCACCAGCGCCACCTTCCGCTCCTGTCCAGAAACCAAAGTACCCTACTTATAAAGTACTTTATGACTATGATGGATCTGTTAGCGGATCTGTTCCGTTGGTAAAGGATGATATCATGTACGTTGTTAATGTCAATGGTCAGTGGGGTCTCGTGAAGGATTTGAAAGAGACAATTGAGGGCTGGGCACCTTTTAGATTACATGAAAGAGGTTGATCCTCCCGCAAACCTCTTTGGAGGGGGAAAAAGTGCTCCTCCTCCACCTCCTCCATCTATTTCTCAGAGACCTGCTGCTCAGACTGCAACTGCAGCTGAACTGCTGGTGAACTCAAATGGAGGCGCATTGGGTAATGGTCTTGCAGACGCATTGAAAGCGAAAAAATCGGAAGAAGTGAACCTAGCAGGTTCGTTGGCAGATGCATTGAAGAGAAGGAAGGGTGTCAGAGAAGATAGTGAAGAGGAAGAGGAAGACGATGACGATTGGTGAGCGTCGGCTATTGTCTTCATTGGGCGCTGGCCATTGGCGTAAAATATTGATATTGTATATTTAATAAGAATTTGCAACACCTAATGTAGTTAGACATTCCACAGATAGCATGTCTATACCTCCTGGATTCCTTAGATCAATATTAGTGTTGACATGAATTTCATAGTAATTTTTCGTAACTTTGTGCAGCAATTTCATGACCCTTAATTACTGATCAACAGCAAAGACATACAAACTAGGGCCTTCTAAAAGGTATTTATAGCTACTTCTCCAGAAGAATGATTGCTTTTGAAAAAGCACAATATTTATATTATTTAGCTTTCACAGATTTAGTTTCAAGGCTGGTCGTGCTTTGGAAGAGACATTAATTGCATCAAATGCAGTCCATCTTAGATCAGTCACGATAGTGAATGCACAGACTCCATTAACTCCAACAAGGTCAATTCAAGTTGTATTCATATCTGATATTCAAACAAATTCTTCCGATTATCCTCGCTCGATCAGGTAGTGAGGTTTTTACTTTTCTGAAATCCAATAATGTCCAATGTCTAATCATAACACTGCAAACTCATTA